GCGCCAGCCATACCACCACACAGATACGGCATCCTAGAGCGCGAGCGTCAGCCACACAACCACACAGATACGGCATCCTAGAGCGCGAGCGCCAGCCACACAACCACACAGATACGGCATCCTAGAGCGCGAGCGCCAGCCACACAACCACACAGATACGGCATCCTAGAGCGCGAGCGCCAGACACACATCCACACGGATACGACATCCTAGAGGAGTGCATTTTCTCATCTGAACCAAATCTGAGGACCACACTGCCACAGGAGGCTTGTGACACAGTTTTAATCTCTTCGGGATGTGTTTAAAAGAGGCCTGGTTCTAGACATGAGCAACCCTCGAGCTGATCATGATCTGCCTCCCAGCGGATCTGGATCCTAAAGCTTTGGTGGGGAGATGTTGGGGGGAATGTCCCCAGGTTAGCGCACTGGTGTTCCAAACCCTTGGTGAGCTGCAAGGACAGCAAACGTTTCATATCCGGGCAGGTGTTTTCAGGAGCGGCACTAAGGCCCGTGAATGCCTGATGGGCCCGCAGGAAGGAAGGGACAGGCAGGCAGGGTTTGGATCGGAGGCACTGGGGTATGACGGGGCAGCAGGGGTGTGTGCTGGGTGTGTAACAGTGCAGGGGTATCTGGGACAGGAGCTTGCACCTGGGCAGCAGAGAAGTGTCTGAAATGAGGGCATAACCCCCCAAATGTGCCCCCAAATCCTTTGTAACCCTCATGCCGGGGGTCCCTATCCCAGCCTCCCCTTCCCTTCCTGCATCCACCAAGGTCTAAAGCTGGCGCTGGCAATGGGAGCCCAGGCGGCAGTGTCTCTGAACTACGGCCCATTGCGGAGAGGGCTGGAAGTGTGTGGATCTGTCCTTTTATCACACACGCCCCTCTCTCTGTAGTTGTGCCTTTTGCTGATTCATGTCTCGTAGCCAGGAGGAATAAAAGCTTTGTAACCAGAGTTACTTATTGAACCCCTGTGATTCAGCTTTTAATTATCATAAGAAAGAGACAAACACAGAGCTAGATTAACTCCCATTTCCAGAGCCATTTTCATCCCAAGAGATCTAAATATGGAACAATTCACTTTCCTTCGAAGTGCAGCCACTTCTGGGTGGGGTGAAAGCAGCAGCTGTTTAACGGCCTCACCGCAACACTGTACTGGGATGGCTCACCCAGCACTGAAATGCAGCCACTTCTGGGGTAGAAAGTGGCTGCTGCTAACACCCACACAGCAACGCTACTCAAGAGTTTAGGTCAGGAGGTAATGGAGAATCCTGTATCCGACTGAAACTGCAGGGAAGCATTTTAAAGAAGCAAAATCTGACTTGGAATATGGCCAGGACACTGGAGTTAATGCCTGTTAGTCTAGATACCAGGCTGATGAAACCAGTTCTGGGTCTGATCTGAAATGCTCAGTGCTACGGTCTGAACAGGTTTGTGTGTTATAACCGGGCTGGTTATAACCACTGAGGCCATCTGCGCTATGATCCTGTCTGAATTCACAGGCTAGGTATATGCAGGCCTGGAAAACCTCCAAGGAAAACCCAGGGGCTGAGATGGGGGAGCGCTCTTCCCAGTCAGTCAGCGCTGCCCCCACTGCCTCCGCGTGGTGCCAGGGGTGGCTGTGCTGCAGGGAGTAGAGTGACATTCCCAGTGTGACTGAGGTGATGTGGGATGGGCCCCTTCTTGGATGACATGAAATCAAGCTCCTGTCAGCTTTTGCTCCTGGGATCCTGTGGCACTTTTCCTAAGAGTTGGGGCGTTAGCGCCAATATTCTGGCCAAATGTCAAGACAGATAATTGCATTCTGCCTCCTTCCACTCCCCCTGGGTTTTCACATGGAGATTGGATCATTCACTTCCGGAGCAGCTGTGCGGTACTGCCCTGCGCCGTTAACCAGCTGCTGCGCCCCTCAGTGCTGAGCAAGTTATCCCTGCGTGTTCCTCTGCTGGAAGCAGTTTGGGATCCGTGGAAGGAACGTGCTCAAGAAATAAGTAGATGATGATGATTTTATTTTTCATCAAGCAGGCGCCCTTCACTTTAGCTGGTAACAGTAGGACTCCTGGGTTCTCTCCCTGGCTCGGGGAGAGGCGTGAAAGCTAGTGGTCTGATCAGGGGGAGTTGGGAGTCGGGTCTCCTGGGCTCTGTTCCCAGCTCTGTTGACTTGCTTATGTGAGGGTAGAATTTGACCCTGAGGGTCTTGGCTGCCCAACCCCTTCTTTCCACCAGGTCCCACTGTAGCCCCATCCCCACATGCCTTTCTTCCCCCCTCATGTGGCAAAATTACCATGTTCCTCTCGGAGGGGAGCTTTCCCCTCTCAGGGCAGGTGGCCTCACTTCCCAGCACGCCCCGTATTTTGTCTCTCTCCCCTTCATCTCTTGCAGCATCTTGGCGAAAGTCGGCTCCGACTTCGACCTGCGAACACTGCGGGCAGTTCGTGTGCTCCGGCCGCTAAAGCTGGTGTCGGGGATCCCAAGTAAGTGAGTTAGTCCGTGTGCTCCCCATGGGACCTGGGATCCAGCCAAAGGTCCCTGCCACCTCCTCATGGGACCCAGCACCCAACCCCAGGCCCTGTTACCTCCCTATGGGACCCAGCACCCAACCCTGGGCTTGTTATACCCCAGTGAGCCCCGGTACCCAACCTCAGGCCCTGCCACCTCCCTATGGGACCCAGCACCTAACCCCAGGCCCTGTCACCTCCCCATGGGACCCAGCTCCCAGCCCTGGGCTCTGTCATCCCCCAATGGGACCCAGCTCCCAACGGCTGCCCTGTACTCTCATACTGAAGCTGGGATCTGGCAGGAGCTGCTGCAGAGAAAGGTTTTAGAAGAGCTTGTCTGACCTTGTGTGTTCAGAGAGTGGCTGCTGCTGGTCTCTGAAGCATTTCTCCGTCTGCAAACATTAGTCAGGGACCTAAGAGTCCAAAACCAAATGGCCCCACTTGCGGGGGTGGGAGTGGAGGGTGTCTCCCCAGTGCTGCCTAGAAGGGGATGACCCCTTCTGTGATGCTTGATTGTGACAGTATGTAGGAGCCCTGGTCATGGAGAGGACCCCATTGTGCTGGGTGCGGTACGTCTATTAGGTATATTATGGTAGCGCCTCCATTGTGCTGTACAAACACAGAACAAAAAGATAAGCCAGGCCCGGAGAGTTTCCAATCTAACTAACGGATCTACTGCCCTCCTGGTTTGGGTGCACAGGGTCTTTGGTGTGGTCCCCACACAACTGTGCAGTGAGGGACTCTCTCCTCGCTGCTCCGGGGCCCCAGAATTCCAGGGTCCTGCCTTTGCTGTGGGAGCTGCCATCTGACACCCTGTCTCCCTCTCTCCCGCCCCAGGTTTACAAGTGGTTCTGAAGTCCATCATGAAGGCTATGATACCTCTGCTACAAATTGGCCTACTCTTGTTTTTTGCAATCCTTATTTTTGCAATCATAGGATTAGAATTTTATATGGGAAAATTTCACACCACCTGCTTTGACTCGGTGACAGGTAGGTCCAGTGCCCGCATCCCCTGTCCCCTGCGTTCGGATCGGGGGTCCCGTAGGTGAGTGATGCAGGGAATTGCCGGTCAAGCAGCAGAAAGGGGCCAGCACAAGCTCCCTTTACTTGCATGCTGGTTCCACATAGGGAGGATGTTTGTCTAGCAGGGGTCTGGGAGCTAGGACACCTGGGTTCTAATCCCCGCTCTCGGAGGGGGTGGGCATAGAGCAGGATGTTTGAGACTTGGAGGTTCTACTCCCAACTCTTAGAGGGAAAATGGTCTAAGGACTAGAGCAGCGAACAGGGAGCCAGGACATCTGGGTTCGAGTCCAAGTATTGGCACTGACCTGGTGTGTGGCCTCAGGCAAGTCACGTCCCCTCTCTGTGCCTCAGTTTCCCCCTCTACCATGTGGAGGTCATGTTGACATGGATCAAGGCTAGATGAAGGAACATCTGTAAATGGCTTGAAGCGCCTCAGCTGGAAAATCCCAGTCCTTGTTGTGTGTGAGAGAGGGCGGTATGAACCCGGCACCGGCCTTATGGGCAGCAACCCAGCCAAGGGGTGACAGCATCTTCCCTGGCCAAGTGTCTCAGGGTGCGGGGCTGGAATCTGCCTATCATCCCCACTATTCTCTTTCCCGCTCCTCCCTGGGCCCCTGGCCTGCGCTCAATATGGAATGGCCTAATTATTTGTCTCCCCTGACGGAGATGGTGTTAATTGAGGGAGAGCTATTTCTGCAACGCGGCCATGTCATCGAGAAGGGGGTTGGGGGAGGGAAGGAGAGGGGGATGGAGGAAGCACCTGCAGGGTCTGACTCTCCCAGCAGACACGAGAGAGGTGGCTCTGATTTGTATTTGCAAATCCCGGCTACCGAGCTGGAGGGAACCAGCACTCAGTGCCAGGCCCCTCCCTGCGCCAGGACAGGGGGTCTGGGAGTCAGGGGCTGGACCTCAGCTCAGGGTCCCAGGAGGGGTCTCCCTAAGGCACTGTATAGAGGGACCTTCCCTGCTTTGGGTGTAGAAGAAGAGATGCTGGACCAGGATCCAGGAGACCCCGATCCAGTTCCTGGCTTAACCATGGCCTCCCTGTGTAACTGGGCAAGTCATTTGTGCCTCTGCTCCCCATCTGTGCAATGGGGTAATACCCCAGGGTGGTGGCTAGTAGGTCAAGGGATGACTATAAGATGTTCAGATGCTGTGGTGCCGAGGTAGAGTGACCAGACAGCAAGTGTGAAAAATCAGGACGGGGGGGTGGGAGTAATAGGCACTTATATAAGATAAAGTCCCAAATATCAGGAGTGTCCCTATAAAATCGGGACATCTGGTCACCCTAAGCCGAGGGTCAGAGAAATAGGAGGGGAAGGGTCTGGAGCGTGGGGGCCCCAGTCCCCTTCAGAGAGGGAGTGTGTCTGGGATCCTGACGCTCGGCTCAGGAGGAGGGAGCTTGCCAGCGCTGTACACAGGAGGGCTGCATGGCATGGCATGTGTGTGGACGACCAGGTACCCCAACGCTTCCTTCCTCGCGGAGCACAGGGCCCAGTCCTGCTGCCACTGACTCCAGCAGGAGCAGGTTCAGGGCTCCTTCCTGATACCTTGCGACAGGGTTTCTGTCCATTCCCCCTCCCTTTTAGAGACCAGGCTGGCTCCTTGGATGCCAGGCTCCTGAACGTCAGCTGCTTTCTCTTTGCACGCAATTCCTGTGCCCCACATTGGGGTCTTCCAGCGAAAGGATTCGGGAAGGGCTTGGTAGCGTTACTCCATCAGCTCTTTGACAAGCGCAAGGGGCCATGTAGGGAGAAGCCCTTGGCTTCTGTGGGGTTACCCACCAGCCCTCGGATTAGCTCTCTGACGCGAGGTTACCCGCCAGCCATGGGGTTACCTGACTTTTGCAGGGCTGCCATCGGGGTATCAGTCCTTTCTCTTTTCCCGCCCTGCAGGCGAAATCAAGGTCGATGTTCCATGTGGGACAGAAGAACCAGCCCGCATGTGCCCCAATGGGACCGAATGCCGTGAGTACTGGGAAGGCCCGAATTACGGGATCACGCAGTTCGATAACATCCTGTTTGCTGTGCTGACTGTCTTCCAGTGTATCACCATGGAAGGGTGGACCGAACTCCTTTATTATGTGAGTCTCTGCCTGCAGCAGCCCTGGGCTCTAAGGCCGTCACTGCCTGGCATCTGGGGGGCAGGGCAGGCAATGCATGAGGGGTAGGGGGTTCCCTGCATAGATTGCTTTTCATTACTTGGACAAAGAAGCTGTGCTTAGCGGTCTGAGCGTAACGCTGAGAATCAGGACTGTTGTGTTCTCTTCCTGAGTCTGCAGCTGATTTACAGTTTGGCCTCAGTTTTCCCATCTGTAAAATGGGGGTGATAATCTCACAGGGTGAGTTTGTTAATGAATGGTCGTAAAGCATTTTGATCTGCCTGCTACCCACACTGACTCTGTACTGCAGGGTCACTGCACCCACCTGGCACGGGTGTCATCTCTATACTGCAGGGCCATTGAATCCACCAAATATGGACACTGGCTCTACTGTGCCTGCCTGGCCCTGCCCCTGCCCCTGCCCTGTAGAATCACTTCAACCCCTAGAGAGAGGCACAAATCTTCTTGGCCAAAACAACCCGTTTCTCAGCTCTGAGTTACGTGAGTGAGACCAGAACAGACCTGGCTGTTCACGAGCCCTGAATCAACCGGGGCATATTCTCAGCTGGGCCAATAACGATCGGCCCAAGGCAGCCAGCCCCCCAGCAGCCCTGGCGCTGGGACCAGGAGGCATCTTGTGGCTGACATGTGTCCAGACTCCAGAGGGAGGTTCGTGGCTTCTCCCGGACTGCAGTTATGAAGCCGCCAGGCAGCAGTGCCCAGCCTAAGGGGAGCCTGCTTCCAGGATGCTGACAGGCTGCTTCGCTCTCAGCATTTTGTCCCTGATCCAAAGTGCAGTGGGGTCCTTACTACCAAGAGGCCAGGCACGCGGCTGGCCATGTGTGCAGAATTAATGAGCTGGGGCGTTCTGCTGAGTCAGGAAGAAGGATGAAGTGCTCCACAGAGATGGGGGGGCGGGGGGAGAGGGGAGAGAGACAGAGGAAGAGAAAAAGAGAGAGGATGGTGCCTGGCCTGGAGCCCGTAGGCCTTGTGCCAGTTGGAGAATAGGGGATGAAGCTGGGCCTGCCTGGTGGTGGTATATAGGGAAAAGGTGCCAGATGGGGCCTCTCACATGCACAGCCAGGGGGCGCTGGATTGCTGGGGAAGGTGACAGGGATGTGTGTGTGAGTGAGAGAGAGAGGGTGACAGGACCAGCCCTACCTGTGTCATAATTAGTTGCCTTGCAGCCTGAGGGGGTGGGGCTAATGGGATGGGTTACCTGAGAACACCTGGGTCTCCTAAAAAGGGCTGAGCAAACCGAGTTCCAGGGAATTCTCTCTCTGGGAGGCAGGTTGGCCCCGGGTAGAAAGTAGGGAGTTCCTTGGCAGGGGAGGCAGTAGGAACTTGCTAGGATAAAGGGCCTCCAAGGAGGAAGTCCTGGGACGTAGGGCTCAGCTAAAAGCAGCAGTTACTGCAGAGCTGTCCCATGCCATGAGGGGTGCTCTGGAGGGGGTGCCCCTGTTCCAGTGTGGCTGAGTGTGTTAGCTTGCAAGAGGGGAGTTCATTAGTGAGCATGGCCCTGTAGTGTGTGAGTGGCAGTGCAGGACTGTTGAGAGAACCTGTGGGGGGAGCGCTGTGGAAAAGTAGGTGTGTTAATTTGCAACTGTGTAAGTGCTGGGTTATGGTAGCATGGCTGTAATATGTCTGTGTGTGTTACCACTAAAGTGTGTAGGTGTCTGAGTATGTCTGGTGTGTGCAAGGACAGCCCTGTGGTGCATTAGCCTGGCTGGGGGATCTTGAGTTTAGCTGTCTGGTTATGAGACTGAATAGGACAAGAGGTGCTTTGAATGGTGACCTAGCCAGTTAGTTCTGGGAGGAGACCAGGAAGGAAAGCCCAGGGTGCAGCGGGAAATTGCCTTGATGATCCAGAAGGGGGCACTTCTCCTGTCGGTTAAGGGCTGTTGAGCTCAATGCTTTGCTTGGGAGGGAAGCTGTACGCCCACAGCATCTGCCTTTTGGATAAAACACTCTAGTGAGATCACTGGAATCCCACGGCTCTGTCCCTAGGAGTAGCTGCCTTAGCCCCAGGGTCCTGCTCAAATTCCATTTGGCCTCCCCAAGCCCTCCCTTGAAATCTGTGTGTGACACAGGATTCGGCTTTGCTTTCTGCCAAAAACTGCCATGCCGTGTTGGTGTGGGTTGTTAAACAGCTGCCGTGCTCCCCCGCAGAGGTAGCTGCATTTTGGTGGTGGGTGGCAGATCCTTCTCTAGAGACCATGAAGCACTTGGGGATGGAAAGCGCAATGTAAACATAAATTATTCCTAGTTCCATGAGCTAATCACACTAATGCAGGAGAGAGACCTCGTGTCCCAGGCCCACCGCAGCGGGAGCAGCGCCGCCTGCATCTCTCTCTAGTCCCCAAAGGCTTCCAAGTGGATTTGTAGCAGCCAGCATTGCTCCGTGAGTCAGCCGTTGTCAGCCCCTCCAAACCGGTGGTGGTTTAGGATCTGCTTTGCGCCAGTCCTCTTGGCGAGAGCTGACCTTCCAGAAGCAGTGGGAGCAGGAGGAGCTCCAGAATGGAGCCCTGCAGTAGGACGGGGATCCCGCAGGACCTGCTGCCATAATAGCGGGAGCAGGATTGAAGACTAGTCCCACGCAGGGCTCTGCTCCAGCACCTATGCTGGCCTCTGGACAAGGGCTTTGCGTGGGTGTGCACTGACTGCTGTGCATGTGGGAGGGCAGGTGCACAGGGGATGGGATTCACAGCCAGGGCATAGGCTCTCCTCAGGTTCCACTATGGAGCCTTTTCCCTCCTGGTTCCAAGCTGGCCCTGGGACAGGGAATGTGTCACTGGCCCTTTCCCTTCTGGGGGGTGCACCTCCAGACTGGCCCCCTGGCAGTGGGACTGGCTGGCTGGGGAACGGTTCACAAGGCCTTTCCCAGCTAGATGGTGCAGATCCAATCTAGTGCCCAGCCTGGCTGGGTCAGGAGGCTGGGGGATGGGATATTGTGGCCTTTCCCGTCTAGGGCCTTGGTTTGAATTCAGCTCCATTCACTAGTGGCTGAGGTGCGCTACCATTGGTCCCTCTGTGAAATTAGTTAAGTGGGTCTGAGCCCAGTTCCTAACAGCTGCGTGCCTATGTCCTCTCTCGCCCCCAAAGCTGGGTTCCCCCAGTGATAGGGGCATGAGCATGGGAAGGAAGACGCTATGCTGTGGATATTCTCCGGGGGGGGGGAGAGTTAATGAGTTATTGCTCCAGCGAGCTCGCCTGGCTTCTATCCTGAGCACAGACTTCCCCTTGGGTATTGGGAAAATCACACTGCTGCTCTTTGTGCCTCAGTTTCCCCACATTGGGTATGGTCTCCACTTACCTCCCCCGGAGGTGGGGTCATTAATTGCTTTACAATTCAAGGCCCTTGGGGGGTGATGCACCTTAATTACAATCTCCCAAGCCTCCAGCCCACCTTCTGCTTCACAGCAATGACCCAGATGCCCACAAGCCAGCTCATATGGCTGATAGAGCAACGGTCGTAGGAGTAAATGCAACTTCCCCATCAGCTGTGCACCGATGTGTTTGCCCCTGTGATTAGGGGATAAAACAGCCCATCAGGGGGTGCCTGAGACCCGGAACCCCCCATGATCCAGCAGCTTGAGCAGGGGGGGGGAGTTCAGTTGAGCCAATCCATCGGTGGAACAAGCCCTTATGACATATTCTGTCACCGACAACCCAATCGCTCTGGACCGTCCCACGAACTCCCGGCCTCGTGGGTAATTGCTTCCTCTTAACCCCCCTCCTTTTCGTCTTCCTCACGTGCCTTTTGTGCTAGATTTGAAAGGAGCCCTGGATAATTAACCAGCGACTCATTTCTTTCCGGCCTCTTGCAAAGGAGGGGAGCAGAAAACGTGTGCATCGCATACAATTGTCTTACCACCGTCCAGCGCCTGCTGCCCCATCCCAAACTGTGCCGCGGGGCTGACGGCTGCGAAGCAGCTGTTGCACACTCTCCCCCCCCCCCAACCCCGAGAGACAGCTGCATTTCAGCACAGAGGATTCTGTTGTTGTTTTACAGTCTGAGAAGGGGGGCGGGGAACAGACACTGAACCAGCCGAACCATTGGCAAGAGGCAATGGCAGTCTGCCTCTGAGTGGGAGCTAAATTGCCAGCAGAATCTGGAAGCAGTGCCTGGGGGCAGGAGGGCTCAGAGGGCTGGGGGGGCGTATGGGGGGGGGTTGTTGCACCTTCCGCTGAGCCTACATCTGCGCTGTAAGTTAGGGGTGTGATCCCCAGCTCAGATAGACGTACTCCTGCTGCCTCTTGTGCAGATAGTGCACTAGAAACAGCAGTGTCGCCGTGGGCTGCAGGGGCCCTTGCTTGCTGCCCCAAGTACGTCCCCACGGGCCCCAAGTGGGTTTGTGCTCGGGGCAGTTAGCTCATGCTGCCGCTGCCCGTGCTACCACTACTCAATAAGAGCCAGCCCAAGTATGTCTGTCACACCCCCAGCTCCTAGTGCAGATCCCGAGTCACCCTGGCCCTCTGGCAGGACACAAGCACCTTGGAGAATTCAGGTCCCTTCGGGATGGGAGTGGAGAAGCTGCCCTAACAAGGCTGCCACAGCAGGGGAGCCTGGACCCAACTCGGGGCTTGCTGACTCTGCCCCCTGCAGTTACAGGGAGATTGTGGGCATGGCAGAGTCTCTGTAGAGGCCTTGAGATCCCTTCACATGCTCCCCACTCCCCAGGCACCACTGTCACCAGACCCCCTCTGCTGGGCTCTCGTTAGACTGAGCAGCCGGGAGACTGCCACTCACTTTGTTCCTTGGCCTATATTTAGCGGCGAGAAATGGGGACAAGGAATCTTTAGCAGCTCGTGGAGCGGAGGCTCGCAAAGTGCCCCATCCCCTCTCCTGCCCCTCCAGCCCCTGGCACCACAAAGGGGAGGACAAAGAACCCAGTCGGGAGAAGGGTCCATTAGCACCTTCCCTGGAGCAAACCCGTGACCTGCTGCTAATGTCGGCTTTCAAGGCACAAAGTGGGGAGCGGCCCGGTTCACTCTGAGCTCCTCGGGGCAGTGGCTGTGGGAGGGAGCCGGCAGAGTGGCCTGTGGTTTGTTTGCAAGCTGCAGTTAGTGGGAGGAGTGTAACCTAGCGGGTAGAGCAGGGCTCTGAGAGTCAGGACATCAGCTGGGCATGCTCCCCCCATCCCCTGCCAAGGTGCCCCAACCTGAGGAGCAAGACACAGTCCCCGTGGCCTATTCTGTCTGTTGCTGCTGGTGGGGGGCGGGGGGCTGTTTGTGCTAACCCCACTGGTGCAGTGCCCATCCTATATAGGGGACCGTACATCCCATTTTGGCTGAGACGGTCCCTTTTTTTAAGCCCTGTCCCAACTTTTGGGCAAAACTTGGCGTTTGTCCCATTTGCTCTTGCCAACTGATGCCCAGTTTTACCAAAAAAAGTGGCGTGCGACCCTAGCAGAGGATGGAGGAACGTGCAGGGGGTGATAGCTCGGGTGAGCAGTTCGGGCCGGGCCAGCCCTGCATGGGCGAGGGGCAGGGTGTAGCAGCTTGGGTGAGTGACGCGAGCCGAGGGGGGTGAGCATTGCGGGACGGCCCCATGTGGGCCTGGGAGGTAAGCAGCATGGGCGGGTGGCTCGGGCCAGCCCTTCATGGGGGAGGGGTTCAGGCCAGTGGCTGATGCCAGCTCGGCCAGGGGGAGGGGCTTCAGGCTAGCCCCAGGTGGTGTCCAGTTTTCCCTTTTGGGAAATATGGTCACCCTAAGCCTAGCAGGGGCTGGGCAGCTCTCTCGGAAGTGGGCTAGGAGTGGGCCTGCTGAGCTGGCCGGCTGCTTGGGGTCCGTGCTCACCGGCCCCTCCTCGGAGGGAAGGAACAGCCTGGCCCTGGCAGCCCGCACTGGCTGAGTCACTCCCTTCTCTCCCAGAGCAACGATGCCTCAGGGAACACTTGGAACTGGCTGTACTTCATCCCCCTCATCATCATTGGCTCCTTTTTTATGCTGAACCTTGTGCTGGGGGTGCTGTCTGGGTAAGTGCGTGGCCCCCTGCCCTGGGCTGCATTCCCGACTGGCTCCCAGGGGCCCAGGATGCTACGTAGGGAGTAGGGCATGGGACTGGAAGCCAGGGCACCTGGCTGCTGTGCCCAGCTCTGGGAGGGGAGTGGGCTCTGGTGGTTAGAGTGGGGAGGCCTGGAAGTCGGGTTTCCTAGGTTCTGCCACTGACTTGCTGCATTTGCTTAGGCAAGTCACTTCTATGCTCTGTGCCTCAGTTACCCCACCTGTAAAGCGGGGAGAGTGACACTGACCCACCTTGTAAAGAGCTGGGAGATCTGCAGAGGAGAAGTCCTAGGTGCGATCCTCCGGGAAGGGGTCAGAGCAAACCCAAGAGGCCTTTGCCATTGCTGCTGTTGGATTCCCTGGCACACGCCCTGCACCCACAGCCATGCTGCTCACCGGCCTTTCACCCAGAGACGTGGGCACACGGATATCCATACACATGGACACACGAGTAGGTGTGCATGTCTCACACACACACTGTGTGTACACCCCTTGCAGTCCATGTAGGTACATGGGCGCACACATGGGCACCCCTTACACAGATGCACACATACTGCATAGACGGACACTGGTCACATACCCTTCTCACACAGGTACACACACACACATACCCAAGGTGCCCTGGATGGCACATTCTCGGGGGAGGAGGCGCATTCTGCCCCCTCCTCGTGATACCCACCTGCTCAGACATGTGCAGGGCAGCCTGGCAGACGGTTTGGCTGTTTTGATGCCTGCAGGGAGTTTGCCAAGGAAAGAGAGCGGGTGGAGAACCGGCGGGCGTTTCTCAAGTTGAGACGGCAGCAGCAGATTGAGAGGGAGCTGAACGGCTACATGGAGTGGATCTCCAAAGCGGGTGAGGACTCCTTTCTGCCACAGCGCCGGCCGGGGGTGGGGGGAGCGTACTCTTCTCCGCTGTAATGCACTGGGGGACCCTGGGCAAGTCCCTGCCCCTCGCTGGCCAGAGGCCATTTCCCTGACTCCGGGAAGCATGTGTCGGGTCAGTTCCCATCCCATGCCCCGGCTTTCACTTTGAGCTGCCAGGACACCCAAAGGCTCAAAGGCCCGGATCACCAGAGGTACTGCGGCAATGGGAAATCAATGGGAGTTAGGCGCCCGAACACATCTCGGGGGCTGGGCCCAAAGCTGGCATGCGGATCTGCCCGAAAACTTTCGATGAACCCAGCCTGCCAGTCCGCTCAGCTCCCGGAATCTGAGTGAGCTCCATGCAGGCTCCCAAGCGAATAATTGCCCTGGCTCTGGTCTTTGATGAAGCATCGTCTGCTCTTCCTCTCCAGGGCAGGGTTATGGGGTCACTGATCAGCTGCTAGGGCTAGGGATGGGTGTCCTGGTGGGGGTGAAGTGAAGGATGCAGACCCCACACCTCTTTCCATATTCCCCGTCACGCCTTTCCAACCCAGCTCTCCTCCCTCCCGTGGCATTCCTGTCTGCCTTCCCCTCCCTAGGGCCTTCCAGCCAGCCCACGCCGCCTCCTACGTGCCCTGGGGAGGGGTGCCCCGTAGTAGGGGCCCTTTGGCCATGTGGCTTATTTCTGCATTGGACCTCCACGTGGCGCCATGGGCCCCCTCCCCCCTGAAATGTGGTAACGTAGATGCCCTTCGCTCCTGCCCTCGACTGTAACGGCCCCAGCCCGGCCCCATCCCAGCACAGCTTGAGAAAGTTTCCCCAGAATTCCAGGGGCGTGTTGTTGCCTAGATTAATTCCCGGTTCTTTTCTCTCAGAAGAAGTGATCCTAGCGGAGGATGAGACGGAGGAAGAGCAGAGGCTCCCGTTTGATGGTAAGCTGTGTGTCCCTGAACCCCGAGTGGCTGGAGAAATAGTGGCTCCCCTGGGACTTCCCACCACAGCTGCAGTAACAGTGGGCTGTCCAGGGGGCCGGCTTGAGGGCTCCGTATAAACAGGTGCTGTTCATCTGTCCATGATCCAAAAAGTTCCGTAGATAGAAAAATAGTAGAGAAATTCTGGTGCAGCCTAGTCCAGCAGGGGGCACTGTAGGGAGCGGGGCAGGAGCACTGGCTGTGGGGGGAGCTCCCGGCTTCTCCAGCTCCTCTCAGAAGGGGGTGTTGCTGGGAGCAGGGCAGGATCACCGAGGGGGAGCTCCGGCTACTCCAGCCCCTTCCAGCCGGGGCGCTGTACAGAGTCCGACTGGGAAACCCAAAGGATAATGTCTGTTTCTCTTGCCATGTTCCTATTGTTGGAGCTCTGCGGAGAGCCACCATCAAGAAGAGCAAGACAGACCTGCTGAACCCGGAGGAAGCAGAAGATCAGCTGGCCGACATCTCCTCAGTGGGTAGGTCCGCAGCCTTGTGCGTGGCCACGGGGGGGCACCGTGTGATGCGGGGAAGGACAAAACATGTCAGCCGCTGTGATGCTTCCCAGGGCTGTGAGTCACTTCACCACCACTTGCCCTTAGTGTTAAGGAATCATATCTGTGCCTGCTGTGGGCCAGCTCCCTGAAATCACCAGCCTCTGGCAGCACGGGCACCGCTCCCCAGGCCCCTGCAGGCCTCACTCTATCTGTACAGGTTAGCGATAGGCATTCGCTGACCCCCAGGCCCTCCGAGTGCCCCTGTTCCACTGAACACGCCCACAACTCTGAGATTGGCTGTTCCCAAAGGAGTTAAATAAAATATATGGAGATATACCTATCTCATAGAGCTGGAAGGGACCCTGAAAGGTCATTGAGTCCAGCCTACTGCCTTCACTAGCAGGACCAAGTACTGATTTTGCCCTAGATCCCTAAGTGGCCCCCTCAAGGATTGAACTCAGAGCCCTGGGATTTAGCAGGCCAATACTCAAACCACTGAGCTATCCCTCCCCCCACCAGTGTGATAGGTTCTACTCAGGATTGCCACTTAGCTTAACACACTTTGAGATAGTGAAAACAAGACGAGATTGAAGTGATAGTGAGTAAGAATATTGGAAACAAATGGTTATATATAAAACAAAATCATAACACACTTTCTAGAGACTAACCTTAACGGGCAGGGTACTCCCCTATTTCCTACACGATACCCCAAGTTCTGTCCCCGGTGTTTTCAACCAGTTTGGTTGAGACCCGTTCTCATAAGATCCAAGCCCTCTCACCAGTTAAAGGAATAACTGGGAGTTCACCTAGTTTCAGAAGTTCATTGTCTTATCCGTGAACTCCTGCTGGTTTGTGTTTTCCTCCAGCCCCTGTAATCTGTTAATTTGCATTTTGCTCAGACTGTAAATGGGCGTCTATTGTGTACCAGACAATTTGCAGTTTGCACATGCCCGGCTAGAGAGAGAAGCATCTCCTACCCCCTGCCTGACAGGCGCATGTGGGCCACCTTTTGGTGACCTGCCTTAACTCACAGACCGAGGGAAGATCAGTTTTAGCATATACGCATCGCTCCCCGCGTATTCCCCATAAGTGCCTCTTGCAAAGATTACGAGGATGAGCGTGACAGGCTTTCAGTAGCAACCTTACATGACCCCTTTGGGTGCACCCAGGGATCTCTGTGCCCCTGTATACTCCTGGGCCCTCTGCCAGTTGGCATCCGGAGGTCCTTGAGTCACACTGCAGTTTCATTTGGATGCAGGATCCTTCTCTTGCTGTCCTACAGAGGGGTTAGGAGGCTGACCCCAGTAAGTGCACCGAGAGCCTGGGCCCAGGTGCCATGTTACTCAACCGGGGAGCTGGTGGAGAGTCAGGAGGCCCAATAAACTGCCCCCTCTAACACCTGTTCCAGCCACGCTGGGGCCTTTGCCCAGGGGCTGCTCCTAACCTTCCTCTCTTCCCTCTGCAGGTTCACCCTTTGCTCGAGCCAGCATCAAAAGTGCCAAGCTGGAAAACTCCACCTTTTTTCACAAAAGGGAGAGGAGGATGCGTTTCTATATCCGCCGAATGGTCAAAACTCAGGCCTTTTACTGGACAGTCCTCAGTCTGGTAGCACTCAACACATTGTGTGTTGCTATAGTACACCACAGCCAGCCAGATTGGCTTTCCGACTTCCTCTGTGAGTATGGCCAGCGGCTGAGCACGCGCCTCTTTCTCTCCCACATTCCCTCGGATGGTTCACTCGGATTGAGGAGTCCTCATTTCCTCTCCTCGATGGCACGGCTGTTTAACTCCTAGGGCACCCCAGCCCTACAGGTGGCTGCATTTCATCACTGGGAGAGGCGTCCCTACTACGGATGGTTAAACGGCCGCTGCGCCCCACCCCAGAGAGGGCTGCTCCTTAGTGCTGGGTGACCGATGTCTGTGTGGCACTGTTCCACGCTGCTAAACAGTTGCCACACCCCCTGCACCAGAGGATTTAGGTGGGACGGACATTCTCCCTATGTGAGTGTCTATCAGAGGGCAAAGCCCTCTGTGATCCTTCGGGGTGAGGGCGCTCTAGGAATGGAAGAGATTATTAGTGTGTCATTCAATGAGCAGTTTAATTTCTCTTAGTGGAGAGAGCAGCAGGGTAGGAGGGAGCTGGCAGGGAGATCTGGGCAGGTCTGAGCCATCTCTCTCTCTCTTTCTCTTTCACAGACTATGCAGAATTCATTTTCTTAGGACTCTTTATGTCCGAAATGTTTATAAAAATGTATGGGCTCGGAACGCGGCCTTACTTTCATTCCTCCTTCAACTGCTTCGACTGCGCCGTAAGTCTACCCTCCTGGCCCGCCACGGGGCCTGGACTCGCTTGCACCCGTTAAACCAGGAGCAGCTCCATCAGGCTGTATTCTGGTTTCAGTTACACTGGTTTAAATCTGGAGTATCTCTAGTGGGCCGATTCTGGTTTTAGTTACACCAGTGTAACTCTGGAAAATCTCCGTCGAGCCCAATTTTGGTTTCAGTTACAACGGTGTAAATCTGGAATAGCTCCATTGGATTCTGTGGTTTGTTACACCGGTGTAAATTCAAAGTAACTCCCTTGAAGTCGACTTCACTGGAGTTAATCGGGATTTACAGCAGTGCAGCTGTGATCAGAATCTGGCCTTGTGGCGTTACTGTGGATTTACGCCTGCATGGGGTTGGAGGCAGGAGTGTGTCTGTGAGTGTCTGTGTGCTTTTGTACATGTTAACGGGTGGGTATGGGGGGGCAGGGTGAGAGTGCATGCACAGGGGTGAGCATTGGCAAGTGGGTGCGCACATGTGCCTATGATCATGTGTGTGCCCTTGGGTATGGGTGTTGGAGTGCATGTGTGTGAATACGCAGCCTGTCCTGAGCATGCTGTCAGCGCCTGGGGGGCGGGGCGGAGGGCACCAGTGCCAAGGTTCCCTGCACAGCCAAGGCCCAGAGTTTTTTGTAGGCCACTAATATGCTCCTTTGCTTTCTGGCAGGTTATCATAGGGAGCATCTTTGAGGTGATCTGGGCTGTCATGAAGCCTGGAACATCCTTTGGAATCAGCGTGTTACGAGCTCTCAGGTTATTGCGTATTTTCAAAATCACAAAGTAAGTGCTCTTGCTTCCAGTGTCCCTAAAACATGTGTGTGTATGAGTGTGTGTGAGTGAGGCGTGTGTACGCTTAGGGTTGCCAACAGTCCCTTATTACAAGGGATGTCCCTTGTTTTTTCATTTCTGTACAAGATTGGGAGTTGCTGAGTGCTGCAAAAAGCAGCAAGAAATACCCCCCCCCGAATACTGCTTATTATTAATAATAATTATTATTAATGATAATAATATTGGGAGGAGGGGTGGGGCAGGGGTGCTAAGAAAACCGTCTCTTATTTTTTAAATACAACATTGGCAACCCTAAGTTACAGTGTGTGTATGCTTGAGTGCGTGTGTGTGTAGTATGTGTACACGTGCTCGTGTGTCCGTTTGTTGGTGTGCACCATTAACTTGAGCCCTAGGCTGTGCCATGACGTATAAACATCTAAAGGCACATTTGGGTTTGTCTCATGCAGCCGGCAAGTAACACGGCCACAGACACAAGCACCCAATCACACGTGTACACCTGCCCACCAATATGTGTGCACTTGCCTGCCGTCACCCAATCGCACGCTGCCAGGGGCTCACCTGTGGTTCCTTTGGTCTCTCTCCGCAGGTACTGGGCTTCCCTACGGAACCTGGTGGTGTCTCTCCTGAACTCCATGAAGTCCATCATCAGCTTGCTCTTCCTTCTTTTCCTCTTCATCGTCGTCTTTGCCCTTTTGGGGATGCAGCTCTTTGGGGGCCAGTGAGTAATTGGGGGGACCCTCCGAGCCAAGCCCTCAGCCAACCTGTTGCCTTCCCAAGATCCCATCAGGTTCTGGGACTGGAATAATAGTGAGCTGGTTACAGCCAATGCTCCTGCATCGCCTCCTGCAGAGAGAGGCTGGGACTGCAGTAGCTGGGAGCTCCTCCTGCAGCCAGCAGTCCTGCCCCACTCCCCTACAGCGTCATCTGCTGGGAAAGGCTGGGACTGGAGCAGAGATTCCTGACTCCACTTTTCCCCTCTGACATGGCAGGCAGATAAGGGCGTGTGTGAGTAACGTGCCTGTGTGTGTTGGTTTGGTGTTTCCCCTGCGCAGGTTCAATTTTGACGATGGGACCCCTTCCACCAACTTCGACACTTTCCCAGCAGCAATAATGACAGTATTTCAGGTACAGCCTCCATTGCTCGGTCAGTGTCACAGGAGTGAGCGCTGGGCAGGGAAACAGGAAGCGGCATCACTGCATGAACTTAGGGGAAAGGCCCTTCTGAAGGACACCCACAAAGGGGAAGTGATTGGTTGTGGGCACCTATTGAACTCAAATGCCTGCTGGACCCTTTGGGAGGAAACACCCTGTGTTAAAGATGCCCCACTATTTTCATGACGGGCCAAGAAAGTTCCCAGGCCCCATTGCCGAGATTTCCAGTAAGCTGTAAGCTGTCCAGCAAAACCAGACTGGACCCACTCCCCCACCCGCCCTCATTTTGAAGGTGCAATGTTCATCACGGCTCAGAGAGGGTTGGAGACTCGTCTTCCCGTCTCAGTGTTGGTCATGGGGGGGGGGGGGTATGTGCCCCGAGCACTGTCTGAAAGGATTCTCTGCCTCCGGTGGTGCCTTGTTCTTTTCCCTTTCAGATCTTGACTGGCGAAGACTGGAACATGGTAATGTACGATGGTATCAAATCTCAGGGCGGCGTCCATCAGGGGATGGTGTACTCGGTCTATTTCATTGTTCTCACCTTGTTTGGTAACTGTATCCTTTGCTTGGTGGCCCCAAGAGAGAAAGACATCAGGCGGGAGGCTCTAGTGGGTATCAAACTCCTAGGTTCTAACCCCAGCTCTGGGAGGGGAGTGGGGTCTAGTGCTTAGAGCAGGAGGGGCTGGGAGCCAGGTCTCCTGGGTTCTGTTCCCAGCTCTGCCTCTGGGGTGGTGTTCTTTGTGGGGCTCCGATGCCCCAGTGATGGGTGCATTAGAAGTAGCTAGCCGTCTCGCTAGGCAAAGGGAAGAGAGCGATTCTGAGCCTGGAGCAGCTGGGGCTTGGGGCTGTGAAACTAGTCCTTGGTACACTGGGCCAGTGCTCGGATGGGCGACCTGCAAGGAAACCCCAGGTGCTGCGGGCGCAAGCAAGCTCTGCATGTGCATCACAGTCCACGCCCCCCATGCCGAGATAGTCCTGGGAATATGCTGAGAGCCAGGTGTGGCTTGAGCTGGGGCGAGGATGGTTGCCCTTGGCCTCAGGAGTGTTTGGAGCTGGAGCGGCTGGTGGCTCTGCCTTGACTGGGTGACCAGATACCCTGCTGAATGTGTTTTTGGCTATCGCCGTGGATAACCTGGCTAACGCACAGGAGCTCACCAAGGTGGGAGCTGCTTCCCTGGCCCGCCTGGCAGGGCAGGATGATCGGGGAGTGGGGGGTTCAGGAGCCCTGAGGTCTCAGAGCGGCGCTAGGGGCCCCTTTGGAAGACTTCCTTAGGGAGCGTCCTATGGCTGAAACGTGAGCAGTGTCCTCGCAGGGGTCGGCAACATGTCCATACACGGACACAAGTGTCCATGGTAAAAATGTTCAGGTCCGTGGGGGGCGCTCATGGGTGGCTCCCCATCCCTACTGTTGCAGGTGGAGGCGCAGCCAGGCAGCTCTGCATGCTGCCTCTGTCCCCCCTCCCCGAGCGCTGATTCCGCGGCTCCCAGCCCATTGGCCAGGAACCGCGGCCAATAGGAGCTGCGGGGGCGGTGCCTGCAGACAGGGCAGTGTGTAGAGCCGCCTGGCCGCACCTCCGCGTAGAAGCTGGAGGGGGGGACATGCCGCTGCTTCCAGGAGCTGCTTGAGGTAAGCGCTGCCCGGAGCCTGCACACACACCCCCACCCTGCGCATCACCCCCCTGTCCCAGCACTGATCCCAATCCCATCCCCCGAACCACTTGTTCGCAGCCCGGAGCACCCTCCTACACTCCAAGCCCCTCATCCCCAGCCCCACCCCAGAGCCTGCACCCCCAGCTGGAGCCCTCACCCCCCCAACCCCCTGCCTCAGCCTGGAGCCCCCTCCCGCCCCGCGCCAATGTCCATCACTAAGTCCGGTAATTCTGTCAAGCACAACAGGGTGATGCTGACCCCTTGTTCTAGCTGAGGAGTGGGCTAGTGGCTGAGGTGCTAACGCTGCTCCTAGGAATTAAGACTGCTGGAGGCTGAAAGGCCAGGGGGAAGGGCAGAGGCATTTAAATAGCCTGGTGAGCCTTGGTGCTGGGGGCAGGCTCCTTCTGCCTAGTTCACTCCCTCTTTCTTTCCCCGTCACCTTTTTCTTCCTTTCCAGCGCAGGAGCTGCCCCAGCCCCTGGGCTTTCTGGCTAATCTTCCGTCACCTGTTTCCTACCTCTCGTCCCCTGGGAGCTTGTCGGACTCCTGGCTCCGTTACGCAATAAGAGAAACACACTCCCCTGTCTGCCCCTCAGCCCCAGCCTTTCCTTTGCCCTAGAGAGACGCTGATCACACCCAACTCCCTGGAGTCCATGGTAGTGGTGGCATCAGCTGTGTGTCATAGGGCCTATACAGCTAGCGGCTAGGGATGATGTATTCCGAGGGGTTTTCACCTTCCTCTGAAGCAAGAGAGACCAGCTACAGCTGGAGACAGGACATTGCTTGGGGTGGGCCCAGTCCGCCGAAGTGGTACAGAGAATCCTGGGTCTAAATGCCAGGCTGGTGGGCCTGGCTCATGTGCCTGGGGTCTTCAGATCTGGGGTGGGGAAGGAACTTCCCCCCAGGTCAGATTGGCAGGACTCTTGTGGTTTTCTCGATTTCCTCTGCAGCGTGGAGAGCCCGCTGGGATCACCTGGGCTCATCTCACCTAATCTGTTCCCTGCCGTTGCTGAGGCTTGGGCATTGGCAGAATTTGTTCCTGCCTGTTCTCTGTCCACGGCACACACCAGTTCAGGCTCCTGAGGGCTGGGATACTTTGCTGTGTGGTTGCTGGTGGTGCCCTGTGCTAGCCAGGAGCTCACACCTGAGGAGCTGATGCTCCTGTGGTCTGGCCTTGGGCTCCTGAATTCTCCCTTAGCTCGAGTGGAGCGGGAGAATGGACGTCCTAGCCTTGCGGCCACTCCCAGCTGGGGGCTGCAGGTATCACCCTGGATCTTGAAGCATGAGTCTCCTGAGCTCACAGGCACCGACTTTGTCCTTTCCCGGGGGGGTGCTAAACCCCTGCTCCGCCCTAGGCCTCGCCCCCGCTCCACCCCTTCCCCCAAGCCCCACCCCACCTCTTCCCGCCCCTCCCCCAGCTGATCCGCGGCAGGAGGCGTAGGGAGGGGGGGGGGGAGGCGCTGATAGCTGGGGCTGCCGGTGGGTGCTCAGCACCCACCATTTTTTCCCCATGGGTGCTCCACCCACAGAGTCAGCACCTATGCCTGAGCTGTTTTCCAAGCCTGCAGCAGGCTTGTCACCCCCTGTGTGGCCTCATCCCCCCTAGAGGGGACAGAGCCGCCGCACCAGGTGGGGTGAGTTACACCCCAAAGGGGCCAGGAATCAGGGCGGGGTTGATGGGGATCAAACGCCACTAATGCTCGCCCGTGTCTGTGCCTATCAGGATGAACAAGAGGAGGAGGAGGTGGCCAACCAAAAACTTGCACTACAGAAAGCCAAGGAGGTGGCAGAAGTGAGCCCCCTGTCTGCAGCCAGCATGTCTATAGCGGTGTAAGTGCCGTAGGTAGCGACACCGGCGGCCAGGGCACGAACCGGAGCCTCCCCTCAGGCTCTCTTGTTCCGTGACGCTGTGTCCAACCACGGGCGGCTGAGCCTCGGCACTGGCTCATGTTGCAGGATCGGGTCTCAGGACAGCTAGAGACAAGGAATGCTCGGGGCTGCAGTGCGCTGTGGGGAGCGGGGCAGGAGCGCCGGCTGTGGGGGGAGCTCCTGGCTACTCCGGTCCCAGCC